CTCATATTCACCAACAGGTGCTGGAACGGAGCACAGCACTTTGCACATAGCAGAACCCGATAAATAGTTACTGAACGAAGCCCAAATTCACCACAGGCCAGGTCCTGTGCTGAGAGGTTCGCACGAAACTCCCCAGATTTCTGTATAAATTCCCTCCAGGATACACAAAGGCCAAGTACAGTTAGGACTCCATCTTCCTCCCAGTCACTTAGAATGCCGACCCCCAACAGCCTCCCGAGTTTATCTGCATCTACACAATTTCAAGCCCATTTCTCCAAATCCTTACTCCCTTTTCCAAATCACGTGGCCATTCCAGCACAGCAGCCTTCCTATTTGCTCCTGGGACCACCTGGATTTGCCCTGTCACAATATGAAACTGCTTGTTTTAATTCTTAATTCTCCATGATTCTTTATTCCATGAACTCCAGGGCAGGGACTCAGTCTTTCTTCCTCACCACTCTATCCTGACTACCTAAAATAGGGCCTGGCCTGGAGTGGCACACAATTAACCCTCACTGAATGGAAGAGCAAGAGACCATGCTGAATGCCTGGACGGTAAGGGGGGGTGGCTGGAACCTCAGCTCATTTAGAGTCATTGGTGCTCTTTCACTGCTGAATATTTTAAAGAACCATGATACGACCTTTAAAGTTACTAATGCTCATGTCTCACCCCTTTTCTTCTCCTACCACCTCCCGCAGGGCAAAGCCCATTTCTTTTTCATCTCTGTCTCTCTTGAAGTCTGTCATGTTCAACAACTGCTGTGTATTAACTGCTCACCTTCTCTGCAATGGACTCAGAATGTCAAAAGTCATGTGCGGCTTAAGAAGTGGGTACTTCTTCCTGCTGCAAGAGGGAGAAGGCCTGGAGCCAGATTGTAAAGCATGAGTGCCTGAGACACCAATGCACGGAGCCCTGAGCTTCGCTTCCTGGCCGCACCTCCCCGTGATGTCTCCCACAATCACACAGACTCTGGAGCCTGTCTGCCGCCACTGCAGTCCCTGAGGTGATAAACCCCAGAGGCACCCCTCCTCAGCAGCCTGTGGGACACAGCAGGGCCTTGAGGCCCATTTTTCTGCCAAGGGTAGGCTACACTGAGCAGGGTAAATGGTGACAAAGTTTTATAAGATTATTTGGGAAGGTTAAAAACTTTTGGCAGCCAATGCACAGAGGTGATTCGTGGTCTGTGTTTGACCTTAAGAACAGAATCCAAAGCCTTTCCACACACTCTGTCCCCTGGCCTGGCCATAAGCCCCTCGGGGAACCTGCAATAGCTCCTGCCTGACTTGCTACTTTCTCTGAGTCAGAACTCAGTGCTGCACCCTAGCAACCAATGGCCACATCTCCTCCTGGCTTCAATTTATCCCTACCAGCCCTGATCAAAACCCATCCAGAGCCGGGGACACGCACTGTTCTGCTCACCCAGAACATAAGCCACATTACTTGAGATGTCCTTCACTACCCTTTGTTTACAAAGGATGGTTAGCTAGTCCTAAGATAAATGCAGCAAATGAGTGGCACCCCAAATCCAAGCCTCCCCAGCAAGTCAAGTGGGGAGTCACAATTTTCTTCTCCCTAGAAGGCTGAAGAGAATGGGAATGAGGCCAACTCCCAGGCACTGGTGAGTTACCACTGAAGACCCCCGTCCTGCCACAGTTGGACCATTAGGCCATCAGCAACCAGGCGTTAACCAAGCTGACACCAGCAGTCACTGTGGATAGCGCCCCTCCTCCAAGCCCTGGCAGCATGAGGCCCAGCAATCAAGTGCACAATGCCTGCTCCTGTGACCTTCTACTTCAGCTGGACTTTGGCGTTACTCTGGTCCCACTTTCAGCCAGGGAACTGGCAGGGCACCATCAGTACTGGAAGTCACAGTTTGCTGACTGTCATCTGCCCCTGGTTCACCACATGGCCCGTGAGCCTTTACTTTCTTGCTCCTTCCCACAGCTCCTGTGGTAGGTGGCATTAGCCCCAATTTACAGATAAAGAAACTGAGGTCCCACAAGTAAACAGGCTGTTCCAAGTCCAGGTCTAGCCTGAGCCCCTTTCTGCCCCTCATACAAAAGTGTGCTGGGGTGAGGAAATTCTGAGAACCGGAGGCAGAGTCCTGGCCTGGGGCCAGAGCTCCCTGGTTCTACCCTCTGTAGAGACTCGACAAGATTCTTTTCACCCTTAACAGGCTTTTGCTGCCACCCAGAGGGATAAGAGAAACAGATGTGAAATAGAGGTGGGTGCATTCCAAATTGGACCATACCAGTGTCTCTTGGGGCCAGAGACGGAGCATGGTACAGGCCCAGATGGCAGCCATGGAGGAGGAGAGGGAGGGAAAGGAAGGAAGAGAGGGAGAAGGAGGAAGTGGGGGCACAATGGGGGAACAAGGGAGGAAGAGAATAACAAAGGAACTTCTGTGTGCTACCAGAAAAGCCTGAGCAGAAACTGCCCCAGCAAAGGCTGCTGCAGGGCCAGACCTGGGGGTCAAGTGCTCCTCACCAGCCCCCCTCAAGGCTCAGTGGTAAAAGGACTGAGGTCAGAAACCTGGAACCCAGGGTACTGTGTGCCCTGCAGCAAATCACATGCCTGATTTGGACTCCTGTGAAATCGTGGAGATGCAAGGTGGCAGTGGAGCGGGAAGAGAGAACTGGAGCAGCAGTGAGGATGGAGAGAAGGCACCTGCAGACCTAACAGTGCCCCTAAGAGCAAAGGCGCTGGAGGGCCAGGAACTTCCTGGCATGGGGTTTTCAGGAGGATGCTCAAGGTCACCAGTTTGGTGGTCACTCCTGGAAAAGATGGGAGAGTTAGAAGAGTAAGATTCACTCCATAACCCAGTGAGTCCTCGGGAACGGTAATCCCAAAGCTGAGCATATATTTAATTATATCACTAAAGAAATAAGATGTAGTTTTCCTATTTCCACCTCTTACCGCCAAACTCTTCTATCCTGTATTTTCCTACACTGATAGTCCATCCTGTCCACCATCCTTCCAGACACATAGAGGAAAAGTCCAGAAAAACAAAAATGGAGTGAGATACAAAGAGCAAATACATCAGAAGATGGAACTGTGGGAAGCCCTGGGGCTGAGGGACAGCAGCTTCCTCCATTCTCCTGTGGCATCCACTGACCAATGACCCACCATGTGGCTCTTGCACCCTGAATAACCCACTGGTAAGAGGCATCTGATGGCCCCTTGGCATGTCCAAACCCTCCCACTGGTCTCTTCTGTTCACATTTCATGGTCTCAACACTGGCCCCCACCTCCACCTACCAAGAGTAATCTCCCACTACTGCCACCAACCCCAGCCTCTAGAACCCTGCAGCTGGCAGGGACCTTTTAGAGTACTTGGTTCTTGGAACACAGTGACAAGAGCAAGAGGATAAGAAAAGACTTACAAGGGGAACAGACCCTGACAGCTGCATCAATGAACTTGAGCAAAGTTAAATAAGATGAGAAATCAGTCATGAAGCAATCCCCAGCATGTAACCTGTCCTCTAGTGCAAACCTCTCATGATTATATTGTAGTTGGATTTCTGGGGGCAGCCAACCTTTCAGGGACTGAGGTCAGAGCCCAGCAGTCCTGCTTCTTCCTCTCCAAGGAACAGGCTTCAAAGATAAAAAATAACTTATCTGGACCAAACTGATCAATCTCACAGAAAGCATTTTCAGTAGAAGGTATTGGTTCAGCCTCACTGAGAGCCCACAGGGGACTGATTCCTGTGGGTTTCCGTATCAATACATCCACACAGGTTTAGAGGGGAGCAAGGGTTGGGGGTTCCTCTGTGACAACCACCATTTTTTTGTAAAATGGGAGAAGAAACAGATCATTAGAATGATATTCCATGTTCCCTCCCTTCCCGCTCTCTTTACAACAGACAACAGCATCTTAGTCTAGAGGGCATGCGCCATTACTCAGAGATCTCAGGCAGCAGCAGATGAGATCAAACCTGAAAGCCATCAAGTCACTGCAAACCTCGGGGTGTTGATCCTGACCTTTTGTGGTCCTTGCTGAGCTGAATCCGTGGCCTTTGGAGCAAAGCAGGCCTTTCCTCCCAGACAGTTAAATAGGATTTAGAAAACAGGCATTTATTCTCAACAGAAGCAAATGGATGGTCGCAGCGCTGGCTTCCAGGCAGATGGAATCCAACTGCTGTGAGCTACACCCCAAGGTTTGAAGCTCTAAAAATGAAGACAGAGCAGCTCTGCTGTTCATTTTTCCAGAAGCTGGGACTTGTGTCCCCTCTGCTAATTAAAGCACTACTGGACTACTGCTCCTAGAGGAAGGGGTCCAGCCCCCAGGGGCCTCCCATGCAAAGCTGGAGGAGCTGCAGAGGAACAGATACCTACTGTTGGTCTCCATGCACATCTATCCTGCAGCACAATGTCAAAACAAGGGACAACTGAAGAGATGTGGAACAGCATCAGCACGGTTCTCACAACAGCAACACACCAGGAAAACAGACATGAATGCATTAGAGAGCCCCCTCCCACACGTGCTCCTCAACCCATTCCAAAAGTAGCTCAAGTAGAATGGAGAACGTGAGTTCTTACAGACACACCCACCTGCACAAACCCTGCCTAGGATGTGGCAAATACGATCCTCTGAGCTCATCAGTCATTGAAAGGGGATGCTTCTGTGTGCCTGGGTTTCCAGTTTGTTAAGTTTTTCCTTGACAACATGGGGAGGCCTGTGCAGTGCCTCTCGCAGGGAGGAAGGGCACCAAAACTTGGCCCCATGAGACCCACCCGCCTGGGCTTGGTTTCCCAACCTGTGGCTCAGTCAATAAATGCCCTCCTTCTTCTCTTACCCCTCCTTCAAATTTCATGGGAAAGCAAGAGGGCCAGGTAGAGAGGAGACAACAAGAAGAGCCAGAGCTCGTTCTTTTTAAAAAAATATTCCAATTGTAGTTCATATTTAAAATTACTTCATTATAGTAACTAAACTGAAGACAGCAGTAAAAGTCTATTTTCCTTCTTTAGGATGTGGATTGAAAAAATGAAGAACGCTTACCCATTTTTGAAATAGAGGACATGGGCTCTCTGAAGTCCTGTTTCTAGGAAAAAACCTAGTTCTTGATCGTGGGGAGCAGGGCCGGGCTTAGGACTTCTGTTTTGGATATTAGTAAGTATTACCTAGAAGGGGAGAAAATGGGAAACTAATCAGATGCACATCCACACCTGTGTCCTACACACCCCGGTCCAGTGCACGGCTTGGCTTACAAACCCAACCTCCTTCCCTGGGATCAGCATAGGGGTGCGGTGCAAAAGTGCAAGCATCAGGAGAGTAGAGAATGGCTTCCACGGGATAGGGAGCAACTGGCAACCCAGTGGCCCTCACAGCCCTCCTGGCACTGAGAGCTGAGGCAGGAGGGGCACTGCTGAGTGGACAGTGCTGGGAAAAGCATCAGAGATGGAACACTGCTGAATGCCAGCATGCTAACCGGTCGACTGAGTGACACGGACGCAGGTCCCAGCAAAGGGCACAAAGTCATCGTCCACCAATGGCTAAGGTCACCACGCAGCTCCAGCACTGCATGAGCCCAAGGAGCTCCAGCAAACAGTCTAATAAAGCATTTCTCAAAGAAAAACCTACTTGTGGCCATATAAAAACCACATAAGGGTTCTGCAAACATACTGCCTGCATTTGCTGGGAGTCAGCAGGACTTTAAAAGACCCTGTTGTTAGCCAGACCCCAAATATGAAAGAGGTCTTAAAATTATTCTCCAAATGGAGCTGAAGCAATTTGCTGGTTCTCTAACCTGCAAGCTTTGGGGAAAGAAAAGTAGAAGGCAACAGTGGATGCAGCACTGAGGAGTAAATCCAGGTGGTCTACCCTTGCAACCACACCACATTGCAACATCTTATCAAAGGCCCTGCTCCTTCGGCCTTGGTGCTTGACTCAGCACTGCTCACCCGTGTTCCTCCCCTCTAGGACTCACATCTCCACTCCACTGCAGGGTTCTCCTCCATACATGCGCACAGTGTTGGAGATGGGCAGGGCATCATCTTTTCCTTTCTCTCTTAAGAACCTCTTGAAGTGACCTCTACCATGCCTAAGAGCTTCAAAAATCAGCAGTATGCTGCCAAGTCCCAAATTTAACCTCTAGTCCAGATCTCTCTGCATTTCAAACTCAGATAGTAGCTGACTATATCACTTGGAAATCCAACACTGAAACTTTCAAAATGAAAATAATTTTGTAAAAAAAGAGATCATGTTATATATACACCAGCTCTAAATTTAACATTACATTTAATTTAGTTAAATTTGAGAGAAGAAACTGAAGTGTAACCATAATCATTCAACTTCAGAAAAATGTTTTTATTCCTGTAGTTAATTAAAAGTCTCTCTACAGTTAAAAATATATATTCTGTTTATTATGTGTATGTATATGTACACACACACAGAGTAGAACACTATTTTTACCTACATGTTTCAACTTTATACAGTGTCTATCTGCACATGATACTGATGGAGAAATTAATATATTCATATTTTCTACTTTGCCTTTTCCTGTAGTCCTACATTTTTATCACATTACCAGTTTTATATTTCAGCCTCCCATATTGGTTATATTACTATTTTTATATTGCCATAAAAATATGCATGCCATAATATGTGGGGGTGTTGTTTTCTTTTCAAAGAATACTAATTGGGGGGTATTTTTTGTTGTTGTTTTTTGCAGTTTTGAGACTAAATCAGGATCTTGCTTGTGCCCAGCAAGCACTGTACCCACTGAGCCTCCCCAAGTCCTATGCACTGTCTTGATAACTGGGGTAGGAGTCATTCTTCTGTTTCAAGACTATTTGGGCTGTTCTGGGTCACTTGAATTTCCATTCAAATTTTTGAACGAGCTTGTCAGTTTTTGCAAAAGGGCAACTAATATTTTCAGAGGGATTGGGTTGAATTTGCAGATCAATTTGGACAGTGCAACTATTTTAATAAATAAGATATTTCAATGCATGCACATTTACCTAGGTCTTCCTTAATTTCTTTAAACAATGTCTTTTACTTTTTAGTGTATATTTTAATATGTTAAATTTATTCCCATGAATTTTATCATTTTGATGCCATTAAAAGTGGAATTGTTTTCTTAATTTTCTTTTTGGATTGTTCATTGCTAGTGCACAGAAACAGGTTATTTTGATATTTGATGCTGAATCCTAACCTTGCTAAATTTGCTGATTAGTTCTAGTAGCTTTTTGTGTGTGTGTGGGAGGGGGGGTCTTCGGATTTTCTATATACAAAATCATGTCATCTTCCTTTCCAGTCAGGATGCCCTTTATTATTTATTTATTTTTTTTTTTTTTTTGCCTAACAGCACTGTTTAGAATGCCTATTTCAATATTTAGCAGAAGTGACTAGCAGAAATCCTATCCTGTACATGGAAAGCAACCAGTCTTTCACCATTAAATACATTATTAGATGTGGGCTTTTTTTTTTTTTAATAAATGCCCCATATCAGGTTGAGTAAGTTCCCTCCTATTTCTAGTTTGTTGGGTATTTTTTGTTTTTAAATCATGAAAGGGTTTTAGATTTTATCAAATGCTTTCTCTGGATCTGTCAAGTTGATCATGTGATTTCTTTCTTTACATATTGATGTGCTGAATCACATTAATTATTGGATGTTAAACCACCTTTCCTTCCTAAATCTCTCTGGGTTATGATATATAATCTTTTTACAGATGCTCCTATATTTAATTCCAATAAACACATACTAAGTTGAAAACATCATAGGTTGGAAATGCATTTTATACAACTGACCTGTTGAACATCATGGCCTGGTCGACTGTAAAGATGATCAGAGCACAGAAGAACCAACAGCTGGGCAAACTCATGTAATATAAGCCTATTTTATGATAAAATGTTGAATGACTCATGCAATTCATTGAATGCTTGTGTCAGAAACAGTACGCTGTGCAGAGCTGTAGGTCTAGATCAGAACACCACTCACCACAGCTGCCCCGCATGGGGGCAAAGTATCAGGCTGCTTATTATTAGTTCAGGAAAAGATCAAAATTCAATATTCAATGAGCATGTATTGCTTTCCCACCACTGTAATGTTGAAAGTCTAAATGTTATAGTTGACACCATTTGTGTACATCACATGATTCAATTTACTTGTGTTTTGCTGAAAGACAGTGGAATGAGATGGACACCATTACCTTAAGTACATGTATGGAGACATGAGTGGTGTGAATATACTTCCTATATAACCAGAAAAAAATAAATACACAACAAAGAAAGTTTTTGCATCTATATTCAGAGATACTGGTTTCATAAAATGAGTTAGGAAGTGTTTTCTTCTTATGTTCTGGAAATCTGTGTGGTATTGGTATCACTTCTTCCTTAAACACTAGTGGAATTCATCAATGGAGCCAAGAAGACCTATAGTTATCTTTATGGGGAGGTTTTTAGCTACAAATTCAATTTTTACAATGAATAGAGGGATATTTAGGGCTATCTATTCCTGCTTGGGTGAGCTTTGGTAGTTTGAATCATTCAGGGAATTTGCTTATTTATTGGCATAACACTGTTCCTAATTTTCCCCTACAGCCTTTTGATGTCTGTAACAATCTATATAAGTGTCTCATCACTTTGGGCCTTAGTAATATTGTTTTCTTTCTTTTATTCTTATTCAGTCTTGCTAGAGATTTATCAGTTTTATTGGTCTTTTCAAAAGACCAGTTTGGTCTTTTGAAAGACTAATTTTGCTGATTTCTGGTCTTAATCTTTTAATATTTCCTTCCTTCTGCTTGCTTTGGTTTTAATTTATTCTTCGTTTTCTACTTTCTTGAGTTAGAGGCTTAGATCAACTACACACATTTTTAGGATTATAATGTCTTATTGACAAATTGCCCCCTTTTATTAGGTAATGTCACCCTTTGCCTCTTGTAATAGTCTTTATTCCTAAGTAAACATTTTAAGACAGACATTTTAGCATTCTCTTGATTATCATTTGCATGGAACATAGTTTTATTATTTGTCTTCTTATATGTCAATATTTAAAGTGGTTTTCTCAGACATAGTGTATAGTCACATCTTGCTTTTCTGTTCAATCTGAAAATCTATGCCTTTAACTGGAATGCTTAGGCCATTTACATTTAAAACTTATTTTGTCTCATTTTAGAAAAACATTTTAATTTTTCTCTTCCAGTCCTTTAAAGGTGTTCTAGTTGCATATGAAGTGTCTCCCAGAGGTACCCTGACCCCTCAGAGTGAAGTCCTGGCCACAGCCTTTAAGGGGTACCATAACCGGGATGAGAAGGCCAGAGAGCAAAAAACCCAGATGTTGGCACAGGGAACCTACCCCACAGGCCCCTTCGTTTCTGGCCAAATGTCCACCACCCAAGATGGCCCCTGGGCCCTGTTTTAAGTGTGGGACAGAGGAACACTGGACACAAGAGGGCCCGAATCCCAGGCCACCTACAAATCCATGCCCTAAATGCCAATTAAGGGGTCACTGGACCATGGACTGCCCCGGCCCCCAAAGGGGAGCTGGATCCACCCCAAGCCCAGACCTGGATCTTTGGGGACTGACAATGGACAACTGAAGGGGCCTTGGGACTCCCTCCCTGATGACCACCATCAACTTTCAGGAGCCCAGGGTCACTATTATGGTGGATGGACACCCAATAAACTTCCTTTTAGACACAGGGGACACTTACTCAGTCTTGAGGGAGTTTTGGGGACCACTGTTCCACCCTATTCCCCCATTGTTGGGATAGGGGGACAAACAATCCTTTGCCTTAAAACCCTCACTCTCTCCTGTAGGTCTCACTGCCATCCTTTCTCCCACCAGTTTTTGGTATGGCCCCAATGCCCCATTCCCCTATTGGGAAGGGACATCTCAGCCAAATTCCATGCCTCCATCACACTCCATCCCAGCCTTTCTCTTATCCTCGCCCTTGCAGAATCAACCCACATGTCCATAGGCTCCCCTCCTTCTCTCCCTCCAGAGGTAAACCCTCGAGTTTGGGACATTTCCACCCCTTCTGTGGTTCACTGTGTCCCTGTCAGAATTCATCTTAAGGACCTCAGCGTTTTCCTTGTCAACCTCAATACCCTCTTCCAACTAGCAGTCTTCAGGGCCTACAGCCCATTATTAAGGACCTATGGCGCAAGGGCTTAATAA